TTCTATAATCTCCTTTCCTTAATAAATTCAAGATTGCTCCACAAATCACCAACAGCTTATAATAGCATTACTGTTTCTGGGCTAAGTCAGGATGCAGCACTGGCCAGTAGCTATGTCTATGGATTATCTGAATAATTGCTTCAATTCCCCACTTGTTTCTGAGTGAGTGTAGGCCTGACCCCCGGGCATGGCTGAACATTACTCATAGTCAAACCGAGAGTTTCAACGCTAAATGTGACAATGTGTGCTATATCTGTTTTCTCTCTAGCAGATTATTCAAATACCATCTAGTTGAAGTCAAGCTGTCCCAAAGCCCACTGAATCTTTGCCCCAAAGGTCCCTGTAGGAGCCCTTGAAGAGCTTCCTTTGCTATATTGTAATCTCTTTCTCAGTGAATATGTGATGATTGGATGCTTTCAGCCCAATTCTTTTCTCCTGCCTCATGTCCCCTAGAGATCCCAATGGCTCCTTATAAAAGCCATGTGTGTCTTATCTCTTCCCATGCAGTCGCTAAAACCAGAAAGCAGGCTGGAAAACATTTCCCCCAACTGTACTGTTTTTCATCATTTCTTTCTGACACCCTCAGATAACTTGTTAGCATATTGTCTTTCTCTATTCAGTGCCGCCCTCACCGGGTGTTTGGAGGCTTAATGACATCACCCAGGAATTTGTAATTAGAAACAAAAATGCCTCTTTCAAAATCTATTAACACTGGGAGAGGGAAGAAAAAAAAAACTTTTTAAGTTGCTGGTACAACCCCAAATGAATGAGGCCTCTTCTGACCGGACAGAAACACTGCCAGCTTTCAGGACGCTCCCAAGAAAGCACTGAAAACAAGTCACAAGTAACCTTTCCGGCTGCTGGTGCCAGTGCCACACGCAAGGGCTGACACCAGGACCTGAGATTGGCCTTGGACATTTTATAAGAAATGACCCTGCTCTCTTGACTTTCCCTGGGAGAAGTTGTGTTTCTCGAAGCTTCTATAAGTCTCCAAGAAGTGTTGTGAATTTCTATCTCCGTAGAGACTAAGCCCAGTGGCTTTTGATTACTGAGTTTTTATTCATTCAGTAAATTGTCTGGAGGGCCTCTCCCAACGAGCCTATTCCTGGGGTCTTGGCTGCTGTCAGTGGGGGTCGTGGTGTGTTCCTGTGAATAACAAGACCAGAGCTCTACTGTGTGATAGCCACTAGACACATGTGACTATTTAAATGTTAATTCGGAATAACAAAAATTAAATGAAGTTAAAAATTCGTTCCCTCACAGTTGTGTAGCTGCATTTCAAGAGCCCAGTAGCCACATGTGGGTGGTGGTTACCATATAGGACAGGACAGGCCAGGCGCGGTGGCTCACGCCTGTAATCCCAGGGAGGCCGAGGCAGGTGGATCACCTGAAGTCAGGAGTTGGAGACCTTCCTGGCCAACATGGCGAAACACTGTCTCTACTAAAAATACAAAAATTAGCCAGCCATGGTGGCGGGTGCCTGTAATCCCAGCTACTCGGGAGGCTGAGGTAGGAGAATCGCTTGAATTTAGGAGTTGGAGGTTGCAGTGAGCCGAGATCGTGCCACTGCACTCCAGCCTGGGTGATAGAGAAAGACTCTGTCTCGAAAATAAATAAATAAAATGGATAGGACAGGATAGATGCAAAACATTCATATCATCCTAGAAAGCTCTCTCTGAGCAGTGCTGGACTAGGTAGTCGGATTTGCCTGGGACACTCCTGGACTATACCTGCTGTCTCGGCATCATCATCAATAGCACCCTGTTTCACTCTCAAAAATGTCCTGGTAATTCGGCTACCCTCTCTACCCCACTGAGCCATGCTCTTTGCTAGGACTTCCCTGAAACCCAAAACCCTTTGTCTTGATGAATAAGTTAGCAGTGTCCAGCAATCTCCCTCCTTTCCCGCCCCCGCCCCCCCATTCCATCTCACCTATCAAAAGCAACAATTTTAGGAACAGGAAAAAAAAAAATCCAAGTGAAGAAGTTGTCATTTCTCCCCAACTAAATGATTTCCTTGTCAGCGGTTTCAGTTTTGTTTTGTATTTCCCTTTGCCTAAAGCAGCTCCGATGGGCGCCCTTTGCCCTGAATCATGCCCACAGATCACACAGGAAGGAGGCCGTCCCGGCTTCTCCTGAGCCCTCCCGGCCGCCCTCCTTACTCCCAGCCTCCCCTTCCCGTCTTGCCCAGCAGAGGGCATCTGAGTTTAATATTCTCAATAAAGAACATGTACACAAGCACTTAGGATTTTTTTTTTCTTTCTTCCAGTGATACTTTTTCTTTATGACCAGCAAATTGAGGTGCCAGATAATATAGGTCACCTGAAGGACAAGCCGTCAGAATCGGAGCTCAGAGCCGCTCAGCCCGGCCGCCAGCTCGTTAGGGAACCGCACACTCAGCTCCCACCCAGCTCGGGACGCCCAGCGGGAGCCTCCCTTGCAAACACCAGCAGACACCATTTTGCAGAACTCTTAAGAAACGCGGGTTAAATGTGTTAGGTACAACGCATGCAGCCACGACGGGCATGGAAAGCGAGAGGGCTGGCCCGGGGAGAAGCAAACCTCCTGAGGTTGGGATTGCTCTTGCTGGGGGCTTTGTAAACAGCCTTGCATCTCACACCTCTGCCAGGCAACAAAATGGTGGTGGCTCTAAAAAATAAATAAATAAATAAACGACGCGGGGGTGGGGGGAAGGTGGCACCAGGTAGGTACCAGAGATGGACTTTTATACAATTTTCTTGGGCTGCCGGTTACCAACAGTTGTTCTCTCTCTTTTTCTTTCTTCCTTTCTTTCTCTGTCTCTGTCTCTCTTTCTCCACCCCCTCCCCCTCTCTCTCTCTTCCTCCTCCCTCCCTCTCTCTTATTCTCCTTGCTATATTCTCTGCAGTAATCTTCCCCGTTCTACTGAAGGGGGCGAAAGACCCAACTGATTTGACTCCAGTTCCTCCTCCTCAGCCTTGCCAATTCCTAATTAAGCATACTTTCTGATTTGTTTCTATGTATCTTAAGGGGTGAGGTGCTGAGGCAAGTTACGAGTTTGGGTTACCTTGTTTGCCTGTTTTGGTGCATTGAACATATTTACGAGATGAAAAAGCTCCTTTCTAAGTGGGTGTTAACTGCTGTAAGATTCCCAGAAAACGTGTTGAAGGGACATCTAAACGGAAAATGTGCAGTATTACTCCATTGCACCTTTTAGAATAAAACAAGCATTGTGGCTACTCTGTTGGGCTCTGGTGGCAGTGTGGCAGCGAGCGATTTGTGTGACTGCGGCACATTCGTTTTCCTTTTCTATTATAATCCCACCTTCCTTAAGGAATAAATGAGAGCGTACAGCAAAGAGCTAAGCAAAGTTGCATGACACAGCTTCGGTAAATGGCAGCTATCACTGTTTTATTATGTCTTTGCTTCAAGCTCTCTCCCTGGGCCTGGAGCTCAGCTTCTGCGCACAAATGCTTGATGGAGAGAGCTCTGTGTTATCTGAACCTAGAAATTCTACAGCAGAGGTTTGGCTCCACCTCACCATTGATTTCCTTTCCGTGATTTTGTAAGTCATCGCTTTGTGATGCAATTTCTCTGTATGAAACAAATGAATATTTTTTTTTTACCACCCCTTCTGAGACTGTTGATAAAACACACTCGACAAATGTTTACGGCACCCTTGTGAGGCACTAAGGAATGAGGAGAAATCCACACCTAACCACCACCACCAGGCATCCCAGTGTGCTCAGGGCAGCGCCAGTTTTTGCCGAAGTATTAAAAGCCCCTCCTTTCATTCCCCCAAGTGTCTTTGATGGGCTGGTTAGTTATAAGGTCACCCTATAGAAAACATAACGCCAGGCCTAGAGAAAGTCAGAGTCAGGGTGAGAGAAGAGACTGGAAGGAGGAGGTGGGCACTGGAGACCAGATAACCAGAGAGACAACAGATAGATACATAGATAGACAGGTCATAGAGATACATAGAGAGATAAGAAAGATGATAGATAAGACACACAGATGATAGATAGATAGACGATAGATACATACAATATATAGAGATGAGTAGATAAAGATAGGTACAGTCAGGAATGGTGGCTCATGCCTGTAATCCCAGCACTTTGGCAGTCTGAGGCAGGAGGATCACTTGAGTACAGAGTTTGAGACCAGCCTGGGCAACGTAATGGGACCCAGTCTCTATTAAATAAATTTTTTAAAAGATAGATAAGTAATAGGTACATAAATAGATGACAGACACATAGATACATAATACATACATAGATGATAGATTGATGGAAAATAGAGGATGGATAGATAGATGGTAGATATATACATATAGATGGATAGATAAAGATAGATAAGTAATCGAAACAAACAGATACATAGGTACATACATCAAAAGATAAAGGATAGATGGATAGAAAGATGGCTGGATGGATGGACAGATAAATAGATACATAGAGATTAAGAGAAGGAGAAATGAAGCTAAATGAAGCTTCATTTAGCTGAGAAACTGAATGACCACGGGGAAATGTGTCATCTTTCTAAGTCGCTGCTGCTTCATGGGGAAAGCAGGGACCACTGAGTCAGGCCTGCTTCCAGGGTGTGTAGCTGATGAAATGACAGGTACCTGAATACCTGGCACAGGACCTGTCAACAGGCAGCTAAGGCATAGCAAAGAAAGCGTTTGCCTTCTTAAGAACCAAAGAGGAAACCTCAAAAGAAAACCATCATCATACATAAAGTTATGTGTCATTTCCAAAAATATAATTATCTTATGCTTTATTATATATTTTTTTTTAATTTTTTTTTTTTTTTTTGAGACGGAGTCTGTCTCTGTCGCCCGCGCTGGAGTGCAGTGGTGCGATCTTGGCTCACTGCAAGCGCCACCTCCCAGTTTCCTGCCGTATTGGTGCTCCGTGAATACTTGTTAATGGATGATGGGCGGATCTAGGGGTCCTGTGCTGCTCTGTGATTCTTCCACTCTGCCTGACTCTCTTCCACCTATTATCTTTCTTATTTTCATTCTTTTCCATTTCTTCTTATTCTCCACTTGGCAATTGCCACTTCCATCTTCCTCATAAAGCCACCAAAAGAAGAAACAAAAAGAAAAAAATATTCAACATGGAGAAATACACTTGGCTTTCCCAATCTTGAAATTGGAGGTTTGACTGCCAAGGCAGGTGCTTGGCTCATCTCAGTGAAGCTGTGGGAAGACTGCTGCAGGCGGCGCTCCTGGAAGCCCTGTGGCAGAGGCTCTTCACCGTGTGCTCATGGCCACACAGCTAGGAAGTGGCAGGCACCACTACCACTGCAGCCATGCTGCAATCCACACCGTTCCAACCCAAGCACCTCATCATTTCACCCCATGCTCCATGGCCCTAGTCAGTCAAGTCTGGGTGGGGATTTTAAACCTTCTTTGCTTAGACTATGTTAGATTCCAGACTTATTTTTAAAAGCAAAAAGAGGCCGGGCATGGTGGCTCACGCCTGTAACCCCAGCAGTTTGGGAGGCCAAGGTGGGTGGATCACTTGAGGTCAGGAGTTCGAGACAGGCCTGGCCATCACGGTGAAACCCCATCTCTACTAAAACTACAAATATTAGCCAGGCATGGTGGTGGGCGCCTGTAATACCAGCTACTCAGGAGGCTGAGGCAGGAGAATTGCTTGAACCCAGGAGGCGGAGGTTGCAGTGAGCCGAGATCGCGCCACTGCACTCCAGCCTGGGTGACAAGAATGAGACTCTGTCTCAAAAAAAAAAAAAAAAAAAAAAGAAAGAAAAGAAGAAAGAAGAGAGGCACGGCATAGTGGCTCACGCCTATAATCCCAGCACTTTGGGAGGCCACGCTGGGCAGATCACTTGAGGTCAGGAATTCGAGACCATCCTGGTCAACATGGCAAAACCCCGTGTCTACTAAAAACGCAAAAATCAGCTGGGCGTGGTGACAGCCACCCAAGTAACTTGTAATCCCAGCTACTCGGGTGGCTGAGGCAGGAGGATCACTTGAACCCAGGAGGCAGAGGTTGCAGTGAGCCAAGATCACACCACTGTACTCCAGCCTGGGCAACGGAGCAAAACTCCATCTCAAAAAAAAAGGAGAGAAAAAAAAAGTGCTATCACCCTTAAGAAGCAGCTAGATCAAGTACTTTATCAGTGATTCTCAAATTGAAGTATACATAGGAATCATCTGAAGCAGTTAACTCCCTAAGCCTCAGGGTCTATAAAGCATCTATAAAACAAGGATACTAACAATAGCTACTTCCTAGACTTCTGTAAAATTTTAAAAAGTTTTAAGTGTGTTTTAACCAGGAGCCTTTCAGTTGCAATGGCAGAAACCTCAACTGAAATTGACTTAAGCAAAATAGGAATTTATTGACTCATATAACTTAATGATCCAGGAGATGATAGCTTCAGGCATGGCTAAATCCGGGGGGCTCAAACCATATCCACTCTGTTCTTTTTTTTTTTTTTTTCTGCTTTCTTCTATGTTGGCTTCATTCTTGGCTTGGCCCCTCTCTGTAGTAGACTCTGATTACTTCATGGTTCCCTTTTCTCCATGTTAAGTCCAAGAAAAGATAAAAACATCTGTTAGCCAATAATTTATTTTTTTCTTTCTTTTTTCTTTCTTTCTTTTTTTTTTTTTTTTGAAACAGGGTCTCACTCTTGTTGCTCAGGCTGGAGTGCAGTGGCGTGATCAGGGCTTACTGCAACCTAGACCTCCTGAGCTCCAGCAATTCTCAGCCTCCCAAGTAGCTGGAACTACAGGTACACGCCAGCATGCCTAGCAAATTTTTTGTGGTTTGTTTTTTTGTTGCTGCTGTTTTTGTTTTTTGTTGTTTTTGTTTTTGTTTTTTGAGGCAGAGTCTCACTCTGTCGCCCAGGCTGGAGTGCAATGGCGTGATATCGGCTTACTGCAATCTCCGCCTCCAGGGTTCAAGCAATTCTCCTGTCTCAGCCTTCCAAGTAGCTGGGATTACAGGCGCCCACCACTAGGCCCAGCTAATTTTTCTGTTTTTAGTAGAGACGGGGTTTCGCCATGTTGGCCAGGCTGGTCTCAAACTCCTGACCTCAGGAGATCCGCCCGCCTCGGTCTCCCAAAGTGCTGGGATTGCAGGAGTGAGCCACTGCACCTGGCAAATTTTTTTTTTTTTTTTTTTTTTTTTTTGGTAGAGAAAAGGTTTTGTTTTGTTATGTTGCCTAGGGTGGTCTCGAACTCAAGTGATCTGCTCGCCTTTGCCTCCCAAAGTGCTGGGATCCCAGGCGTGAGCTGCTGCGCCAAGCCTCTTGCCCAGTAACTTCAGTGAAAGTCCTGGGCTCAAGATTCACTTGACCACTTAGACCATTTATGAACCAATCAGTTTGCCAAGCTGGGAATCAGTGTTCATCCCTGAAGTCAGAGCACACAGCTCCCTAAAAACCACGAGCTGAAAAGTGGGGGTGGTAGTTAGCCAAAGGAAAATTAGGGAGCTTTTTACACAAGGGGAATAAATGTGTGAATACAAAAATCTATGGATGCCCACAACATGTGGCCTGGTACACATGTAAGTACTCAATCTGTGTTAGCTATTAAAGGGAGCACCTGACCAGAGGGCAAGGAATATTTGGGGATCACTGAAGCTTCAGAATCACACCTTTCAGCTGATGGTTCTGTACCTTGGCAGGACATCAGAAGTTCTTGCAGAGCTTCTAAACTCTCCCATCTGTGGCCCACGTTCAGTTCTGATTCAGTTGATCTGGGATGGGGTCTGAACAGCACTGGGTGTTAAATCCACCCAAGAGAATTTAATGAACTGCCAGGGCTGAAAATTACTGCTCTAAGCTAATGCATTTGCTTGGCCAGTGCCCACAGACCTCTTAGCCATAGCACCAAATCCTGTAAGACCCAAGGAATTATTAGGAAGTACTAATTATATGTGAAGTCTTAATGCGGAATTTGAAAATCTCCCGAAATTATTTCTTCCAATGTTCTCAATGCTAAAACGGGACTTTGGTGATAGCTTTTTTTTTTTTTTTTAATGAGACGGAGTCTCGCTCTGTTGCCTGGTCTGGAGTGTAGTGGCCCTATCTCGGCTCACTGCAACCTCCACCTCCTGGGTTCGAGGTATTCTCCAGCCTCAGCTCCCCAATAGCTGGGATTACAGGCATGCGCCACCGCATTCGGCAATTTTTGTATTTTTAGTAGAGACCGAGTTTCACCATATTGACCAGGCTGATCTCGAACTTCCAACCTCAGGTGATCTGCCCACCTTGGCCTCCCAAAGCGCTGAGGCATGAGCCACTGTGCCCGGCCAGTGATAGCTTTAAAAATGCGACATAGAACTGAACTCTGTGTGTGTGTGTGTGTGTGTGTGTGTGTGTGTGTGTGTAACATGTGCGTGTGTGCTTGTGTGCGTGCCTACATGTGCCTTGCATTGGTGGTTAATTTAGCAACACAGATGACTCAAGAACTTAACTAATGTTGAGGTCATGACATCTTGTGTTTTCAACTTTATTCCTCCCCTCCCCCGCCTTGTCTCATCCACAAACATTGGCTTCAACGTTGGAGGTATTTAATGCTACCAGTGATGAACAGAAAGACACCACCTGCCTCCAGATGTAATATCCTGAGGAGGATACAACATCCTCTATGCCCCACAGTAAAGTAAACAGCAAAGAATGCATAACCTACACTTAATCAAGACATTTCAGACAAACAGAAAATGGGGAACATTCTGTCAAACAGGAGGAAGCTGTAGTCTTTGAAAATGCTAATATCATAACAGACAAAAAAAACTGCTGTGAGAATGTTCCAGGTTACAGGACTGCACAAACAATCATGCAGATGGATATTAAGATATTAATAGATAAATAAAGGCAATCCAGGTATTTTTGTACTACTTCTATATTTGTAACTTTGAGCTTTTTTTTCTTTTTTCTTTTTTTTTAGACAGAGTCTCACTCTGTCACCCAGGCTGGAGTACAGTGGTGTGGCCTCAGCTCACTGCAACTTCCACCTCCTGGGTTCAAGCGATTCTCATGCTTCAGCCTCCTGGGTAGCTGGGATTACAGGCATGCACCACCACGCCCAGCTAATTTTTGAATTTTTTTAAGTAGAGACAGAGTTTCTCCATGTTGGCCAGGTCTCAAACTCCTGACCTCAAGTGACTCACCGGTCTCAGCCTCCTAAAGTGCTGGAATTATAGGCGTAAGCCACCGTGCCCAGCCTGAATTTATTTTCAAATAAAAGGTGTTTTAAAAGCTGTGGACAAAGAAATACTATAAACAATAACCAGAATGTTCGTTTAGTTGAAATGTGGAAATACTCTTCATGACTCATCAAGATTAAGAATTGTAAACACACACGCACCCCGTATATCAAAACTCATTCTTCATTCTAATACAGTTCCTATTTGCATACAGGGCCGTTCATCAAAATGTCAAGTACATCTATCCCTGAGCATTTTCATAAATTTCCCCAGATTAGGGGGCTCACAGGAAGTTGTCAGATGGCACAGCCACACCCCCAGTGGTTTCTCAGGACTCTAGAAATGTCTGAAATACAGGCCAAGCCCTCACTCTTGCCAGTAAGTTACACTGAAGCAGTTATATAGTAGAATTGATTATGTAACACAAAACCATGGTATCCATTGCCCCTGAGAGAGTAGAATTTAAATCTTTACCTGGGCTCACAAGGTCCTGCCTCAAGTCCAGTCTCAGTTCATCCTTTGGACTTCTTCTGGAAGATTCCTCCATATCAGCCTGCCTTCTGGTCTTAGCCTTTCCCTTTCTTACCTTGGGGCTTGTGCACCTGCCATTCCCTCTCCTGGAAAGCTCTTCCCCAGAGCTTCGCGTAACTGCCTTTGAATCACGTAAGTCTCAACTGTCATCCAGCGCTATTTATTTTCTTCACAGAAATGACCACTAAGTGGAACTTTTTAAAACTTGGATTATTTCTTCTACGCAAATTTAGATTCCCTAAGGGCAGAAACCTCATCTGAACACTTCCCACGGTGCGTGGGCTCTGGGCACATTTTCCCCACTGTCTGGAGCACTGTTCCCATTGTGTGTTGCTCAGCACACCCCTCACACCACACATCTGGTTCATGCTCAAGTCTCACTGGCTCACAGTCCTTCCCAGAACACCCTCCTGCTCCTTCCTTTGCTTTATTTCTTTTCACAGCACTTGCTACTAGTGACTATGCGCGCACACACACACACACACACAATCACACACAGTATATGTGACAAATACAATATATATATTTCTGATTATTTTTTCCACTACCTCCTGCCCCCGGCCCCCAACAGACTGCAAACTCCATGAGGGCAGGGAATTTTTTTTTTTTTTTTTTTGAGATGGAATCTCACTGTGTGGCCTAGGCTGGAGTGCAATGGCGTGATCTCATCTTACTTCAACCTCCACCTTCCAGGTTCAAGAGGTTCCCCTGCCTCAGCCTCCCAGGTAGCTGGGATTACAGGCACCTGTCATCACACCCAGCTAATTTTTGTACTTTTAGTAGAGACTGGGTTTCACCATGTTGGCCAGGCTGGTCTTTAACTCCTGACCTCAATTGATCCACCTGCCTTGACCTCCCAAAGTGCTGGGATTACTGGCATGAACCACTGCGCCTGGCTGGGAATTCATATTTTTAATGTATCCCAGCATGTAAATCCAAACACCTGAATCCCAGCACCCAAATCCAAACCTGGAGTTTAACAGATGCTCTATATTTCTCGAATGAGTCACTGAACAAATGAGCAGAGCTGTATTCATAGTAGGCATTCCACAAATGGACATTAGAAAGAACAAAATTGGAAGCCTTCAACTAATTGAGTTTAATTAAGACTTACCATAAATCTACGATAACCAGGACAGTGTGTTATTGGCATAAGATTATATAGAGAGATCAATGGAACATAAAGAAATATGCCCACACAAATATGATAAATTGATTTTGTATAAAGGTACCAGTTTATCTCATAGGAAAATGGTAGTCTTTTCAGCAACCGATACTTGAATAATTGGATATCAGTATGCAAAAATAATGAACGACCCCCATTACCAATGGCCTACATCATTTCCTGTATCTAGTAGATTCTTCGGTGGCTGTTCTGCCCACTAAGTCCTCCAGCCCCTCTATGGCACATCCTTTATTAGTGTCTTTCTTAAAAAATATCCAATCAGTTGGGAAGCATTGATGGCCAAAAAGGCCTTGCCTGACCACTCTCTAGCTCCTTCCCTTGCTCATTGCTCCTCATTGCATGTGCTCCCTCTAACATTGTAGAGTTCATATTTTTGCTTATTATCAACGTACACATAAACTCCACCCCCTTATCCTCTCACCTCTCTATCTTCATCCCCCACCTCATTCCCTATAGACAGGAATGATCTGTGTAAGGTGATTTTTCTCACCACTGTATCCCTAGTACCTAGACCGTCCACATGGAACAGATGTGATCACAAAGTTTTGGAAGAAACTTGCAAGTCCATCGTCCAACACTTACATCTTTATAGATGGGGAAATCCAAAGACAGTAAGTAATTTCCCCGAAGCTCTCACGGCTAGCTGGGGCAAAGCCACAGAGCAAGCAATGAATTCCCTTGGGTCCCCATCAAGTTAGTGTCAGTTCCATTACGCCACACTGCCCTTCTCTTCCAGGCCTACGGAGGCAGGAAGCACAAGACACAACCTAATCATGTTTTTAAATCTTAATTTTTTGACCGGGCACGGTGGCTCATGCCTGTAATCCCAGCACTTGGGGAGGTCAAGTCAGGTGGATCACAAGGTCAGGAGTTTGAGACCAGCCTGACCAACATGGTGAAACCCCGTCTCTACTAAAAATACAAAAATTAACCGGACACAACAGCGCATGCCTGTAGTCCCAGCTACTCAGGAGGCTGAGGCAGGAGAATCGCTTGACCCCGGAGGCACAGGTTGCAGTGAGCCGAGATCATGCCACTGCACTCCAGCCTGGATGACAGAGTGAGATTCCATCTCAAAAAAAAAAAAAAAAAATCTTAATTTTGTATTAACTTAATGCCTTCTGGTAGGGTTGGCTGTGAGGAGCCAAGGGACATTTGGCCTTGGCCTCATATTGACTTTCCGATGTCATCTCCAAAAAGATTGCATGAATTCACAGGGATGCATTCGTAATAGGACAATTTTACACTATGTTCCCATTCACAGATCATGTTACCTCAAGCTCATTCTAAGATAATATGGTTAATAACTTCTGTAACCTTGTATACAGCACAATGCCATTGCAATGAACAGTAATTTGTGTGTGTGTGTGTATTCAAGCTTTTATTTTGTTCAATATAACACTGAAAAATATTCCAAGGAGACCGGTGGTGACTTATGCCTGTAATCCCAGCACTTTGGGAGGCCAAGCCTGGGGTACCGCTTGAGACCAGGAGTTCGAGACTGGTGTGGGCAACATAATGAGACCCTGTCTCTACAAAAAATTAAAAAACAAAAATTAGCCAGGCATGGTGGCACATGGCTATAGTTCTCAGCTACTCAAGAGGCTGAGGTGGGAAGATCACTTGAGCCCAGGAGGTCAAGGCTGCAGTAAGTCTTGACGGAACCACTGCACTCCAGCTTGGGTGACAGAATGAGACCCTATCTCTGAAAAACAAAGAAAAGAAAATATTTCATAAATTTGGGTAACCCCTATTTTGGCATCTCTTCATCTTTATGTCTTGAAATGCCAGATGCCTCATTGACTGGACACATCTGTGTCTCTCCCAGCTTCTGTGTGGTCCCAGGCCCTGTACCTGTTTAGTGTCCATGTTCTTGGAGGTAGACCCCTATTGCGCTTACTTCCTGAGGGCACACAGATCTCTGGAAAGCTGAAAGAGGAAGACAGTCCTCTTAGGCACTAGCACTAACAAGGAGCGATGGTTATGCAACCAGCTTGCAAAATTTTCCTTTTGCATCTCTAGACAACTCAGCCCTGTCCCTGGTTGCATGGTGTTTGGTGGATGACTTGGCATGAAGCATTATATCTACAAGAAAAACAAGTCAAAGGCTGATGCCTCTGATGGGGAAATCACCACTCACTCAGTGGGCAGCCACAGGAAATGGGTACCTGTCTATACGGGGGCACAGGATTATGGAGCAACATCCCACATGCCAGAGCATAACGTAGAGGCTTATTAAGGACAGATACTTGGGAGTGTACGTTTATCAAAAACTCAGATGGGTGAATGGCCATCACAAATGGGAGAAAGAACTGTCAGCCAACAGGGTGACTCAGGGGCTGAGTGTGCACCTCTGTTATGAAAAGTGATTGTTTAAAAAAAAAGTTGTTTGCACTCATCACAGATATCAACATTTGAAGGCACTGGCTGATTCCAACTTATGCCATAAATGACTATTCAATTGCAATGGGAATAGCTTAGACAAATTTTCTGTGATTAAAGCTGGCCAGTTCCTCAAAATAAAAGTCCAACCTGGAGCACAAGTGAGTCTGAGTGCTTGGTCCTTGGAATAGTGACTTTTCTCTCTTGTCAAGTTTGGTCTCTAACCAAAATAAGTATTAACCTTTATACATTTAGAGTACAGATGAATAGGAGGAGGATGAAATAGCCGAGACTGCCTTTGCTGCACATGACAATGACATAACTCAATCTTGTTTAAGAATGAAAGGGAACTTAGCACTTGTAACTGAAGCATCCAAGTTTACTGCTGACTCCAGGCACAGCTGGATCCAGGCAGCAAGAAGCGTTATGAGGAGTGTGTCATTCTCTATATCTTGGCTGTCCTTTCCTCTATATTGCCATTACTTTCAGGAAGGCTGTCTCCATGTGAATGGCAAAGCAATCATCTGTGGCTTCAGGCCTAGATGATCTGCACAGCTGGTGACTCCAAAAGAAACCAAAAGAAACACACACACGCGCACACACACACACCCCTTTTTCCCAATAGCTCTCACAAAAGTCCCAGGCAAGAATCTCTCTGGCTATACTTGGAACACATACCCAACCCAGAACCCATTCTCCTTGTAGCCCATTTTGTGCATATCCCGTTGATCACCATGTCCAGCCATGCTGCCATGAGGATTCTTTTCAAGTCTCTTTAGGCATCCACATAAGGGGTACTGTGGAGTGTAGAGATGACCATTTCTTTGAATACTATAATAGATGCAATAGTAGGCTTGCATTCAAGGTACCATAGTACAGTATAAGAAAAAAATATATATATATGCCTTTGTAAACTGCTTCCTCACTCAGGATCCGGGGGATGCTCCCTTCTGAAGGGAAGAGCAGGCACCCCACGCCCTCCCAGCTCAAGCTTCCCCTGCCACCTGCACGTGTGTGAATTGGCAGGTTCCACTAATATTGGTATTTCCCTCTCATTGCTACTATTACCCCCGCCAAGCTTGGGATGGCAGAGTTGGAGTCATATCCTTTCAAGGAGCCTAAAGATGTGACTCCTCTGCATTGATGAGAGGCACAGAAGAGGGAAAAGCAAGGAAAGATTTTAGTGAGCTCTGAAGTCCTACCTGCCATTCCACTAAATGCCAGAATCATCTGGCCTCACTTAGTGGGTGGAGCAAATTCCTGCCCCCCAGGGCCTCCCTCCTGAACCTGCAAGGTTGGTGGGAGAGGGAGACCCTCCCCAAAAGAGGAAGCCTGTTGTGTTGAGAGTGATTTCAGAGACCTCAGCCAGGAAAGGCAAATCAAAATAACCCTTACACTCTGCCGCCTTCTTCCTTCGGAGAGGAATGTTTCCTGGCGCGGTGCTGCAGCTTAATAAATTGCATGCAGTAGATTTCAGGCCTTGAGAAAATCTTAACACTAGCTAATATGACCAGCATTAACAGAATTTCTTGGAGCTTAAAATAACAAAAAAAGCTCATTGACGGATTCCCACTTTTATTCCTGTCCCCCTTTTCCACTTAGCCTTAAAATGTTTTTAATAATAAATTTTTATTAAAAACAACAAAAAAAAGAGTGAAACACT